AAAAAAAAAAAAAGAAGTTTTTAAGAAAGCTATACTCCATCTGTGAAGTAAATGGCATTTCATGCCTTGATTGAATCAAAGGATACCTTGTTTGGTCCATAACTCAATGCTATTGTGAGAAATCAAAAATGAAGTGAGATCTTCGAGTTCCAAATTCACATGAGCATTCGAAACATCAGAAATAAATAAATAACCATTGATGATCATATAAAAAAGCAAAGGGAAAACAAATGATCAAATAGTCTATGCAAACGCCACCATCAAGCCCAGAACCGGGCTGCTCCGTCAACCAATCGTGAAGGACAGCTGAGAGCGCACTCCTCTTGCCGAGTCGTCACTGGAGCAGAGGCCCCGCCCAACTCCCAGCAGAACTTTTTATGGAGTGTCCCAACTTTCATTAGCCGTCCTCAGCATTTCATTGGCTGGGGAGGGAGCCAATCGCTATGGCAGGAGAAAAGGGAATTAAATCGCAAATTATGGTCTCTGTAGTCCAGGGGAGAGAACGACAGGTGTGGATAGGCCGTCCACGCTCAGTGCTGGGATCTGGATCTGATTGCTTCCGTTGGAGGGGAACTGTAAGAATAACAGGAAGGTATTAATTAGGACTTAAGCTTGACTATTAAATTATTACTTTTATTATATGTATCATATTCATGGCATGCTATCCATCTTCACAGACCAATGTTATTTTAGTATTATTGATTTACAGTGTTAGTTTTTGTAAATATTTTGAATTAGATTTTTTCATATGATCTGTTTTCATTTTCATTTTAGTTCAAGTTTTAGTAATTTTGTTGTGTTTGTCATTTTTATTAGTATTTTTTCTTAAGTATGTCTATATTGTTTTTTATTAAGTTTTAGTTTTTAATTTATTTAGTTTCACTAATTTTAGTACTTCTACTTAAACTACACAAAAGTGAGGAATGTTGTTTTAAGGTTTTATTATAAAGTTTAACATTTTTTTAATATTTTATTTTATTTCAGCTAATATGTTTTGCACTTCAAGTAATGGAAAGATATAAATTTTTCACGTTTTGTTTTAGTTAATGATAATAACCTTGCCACAGACAATATTTTTGACCCCTTTTAGTATAAATGAACGTGCAAATTAACAGTAATGCATTTAAAATGGAAAATTAAAGTTCTAATAACCTGGAATACTCAGCTGGTACTGATACTTGACATGGATTACTTAATAAACTGGACAATATTGAAAGACCATTTTGCTATAATATAAACTAGTCCAAGAAGAACATCTACCAAGACAGACAGGAGGTCACTTATGTAGGATTAGGTTTAATGCACCAGTTCCTGTAAAAAATAATGTATAAACGTTCCAAACTCTGCACTGCTGCTATTGTCCAGCAGAGGATGCTCACATGCTTTTCTGAGGAACAGTCCAACAAAACAAAAGCCTTCTCAAAATTAAGCACAAAAGATTTGACGTCCACTAAAGGAAGAAGCGTAAGAGAACATTGTGAATTTAATGCAATGCAGAGCATTGAAATTATTAGTTCGTTAGCCTAATTGAAGAATACTGTTTTATTGCACTATAGCAATGCAGTGTTAATGTGAAGGCACAATAACAGAATTCAAATGTGTGGTCACAAGTGTGGAAATAGCTGGATAACTTACTTAACAGTTTGAAATGTGGCTCATCCATTCAGAATTTACCAAACCATTTATCATCCAAAAAATACTCCATGTAATTCACCAGTTTCCTTTTCAAGTCATGAAACTACATAGTATTTCAGAATATAAAATTATTACAAGACTATTTGGTAAAAAAAGAAAGACTCTCTTTCATGAGCTTCTTTCCAGCTGATTTCCTAATCTAGCTTTCTAATAAACATGCCACTGCATATGGATATGATTGGTTCTGTGAAAAATCACTTATGTTTCTCTTTTGTAAGTCTTTTTGGATAAAAGTGTCTGCTAAATGCACAAATGTAAATAAGATATTGGTTACCATGGCAATCTTAAAAGTTGGGAAAAGGCGGAATATATAAAATGTATATGTTGTAATGTATTTGATGGTTATGAATGGAGTGGGAAGGGAGTAAATTCTCAGCCATGCAATGAGCCGAGGGAGTGTGAGGAGACAGATGGTGTGCTGCTGCCATGCTGTGGATGGAAACTGTGTGGACAGGAAGTCTCACCTGGAAGGACAGCTTGGCAGGGCTGCGTGGAGCGATTGGACTGAGCGTGCTCCAGAAGTGTATGGTTGATGGCAGCGGACTCGGTGTCAACAGCACTGGAGTCTGAAAGAGAGAGGGAGAGAGAGAGAGAGAGAGAGTGAGAGAGAGATGGAGTTGAAGAGGTTGTGCATGTGTGTGTGTGTGTGTGTGTGTGTGTGTGTGTGTATTGTTTTCATCCAGTCTCTATTCACATCTTTTTTTGTAGGGTTATCTGGTAACACAAGCATTTATATCGCTCTGGCTTTGTTAAAAATCACATTGAGACTGTGTGAATAAGAGCTTGGTACATGTGAAGCATCCATTCATACCCCACAAACGCTATTGTTGCCTTAGACAAAAAAAAAACACTATTGTTGCCTTAGACAAAAAAAAAACACACAAGATATTTCTGATAATTATCAAAAGTATGGCATAAACGGAGATCTAGCTCTTAAAAACACCCAAGCACGACTCCTCTGAAAGACTGTAAGATAATGCTGAAACTCAGTCATTTAACAGTCATCTTTTGTGCCTTCTATGTGGTAAAAGACTGCATTGTGTTTAAATCAGGGCTGTCAACTGCTTAAAATAATTATTTTTTGAAATGTGTTCATGTGGGTTTCGTCTTAGTAATGCAATTGCAAGCAGCAATAATACAATTCCACAAAATAGTGCAAACAACTTAATTTTTAACAGAATTAAATGGATTTAATAGGCAAAAGTGTGCATTTTAAATATTAGCACATGTTTTAAACAACCACAATTCTGAACTGAATGGCTCACCAGGGCATGGGAGGTGATGACTGTGGGTGTTAAGGTGTTCGTGGCACTGCCAGGAGCCAGAAGGCTGTTCACCGCTGCATTGACCTTATCCAGTGAAAGTCCAGGGGGCAGCAGCGTAGACGAGGATGGCAGTTCCAGCACACGTGGCTTCTTTGATTTAGGAGGCTGGACTTCCCGCATGCTTGCTGGGAGGGAGGCTGATGCAGTATTGGTGTCCTCTGAAAACAGTTTTGAATGAGAGGCTAAAATTGACAATTGATTTTTAAGCACTGTGGGTTTTGTTGACCTATAACCATATCAAATAACTGTAAAGGATTGCTTGGAGTGGCTTATTGCTTTTATAAAAAGGTAGGATCAGCAATATGATAAAATACATTGTCATTTGATAATTTATTTATTATTAATAATCACAATAAACAATTCTTCTACCAAGTAATATACACTTTGGGGGCAGTAAAACAATTTATGGAAATTAATACTTCTATCCAGCAAATTACTACTTCTATTCAGCAAGGATGCATTGAATTGATAAAAAGTGACAATAAAGACATTTATAATGTTACAAATGATTTCTATTTCAAATAAATGCTACTCTTTTGAACTTTCTATTCGTCAAAGAATACTGAAAAAAATTATATATACGTTTCCACAAAATATAAAGCAGCACAACATTGATAATAATTTTTCACCATCAAATCAGCATATTAGAATGTTTTGTGTTTCACGTGATACTGAACACTGAAGTAATGGCTGCTGGAAATTTAGCTGTGCCAGAAATAAATTACATTTTAAAATATATTCTAATAGAAATGAGTTATAGTAGTAATATTTAACAATATTAAAACAACAGTTTTTACTGTATTTTTGATTGAATAAATCCAGTCTTGGTGAGCATAAAAGACTTTGTTCAAATACATTTAAAAAATCATACTGATCCCAAACTTTTGATAGGTATTGTAGTTAATTATCTTAAAAGTAGGCTGTTTTTCATTGCCAGGCAACCAATATTAAAATGGAACTTAACTGATGTCCCTTTTATAACTCAGACTAAAACGCTAATGAATGAGCTTCCACTTATACAAAGATTTGCTTGCAATTTATAAACAGTAAACCTAAAAACAAACTGCTACGAGCCTCACCAGCTCTTTTGAGTTCAACATCTTTCTAATGCATAAACGACATGAATTTTTGACTAACCAGGTAGCTCAGGCTTCTCTTTCACCTCCCCTTCTCCAACCGGCTGGACCACCGGCTCCACGCAGGGTGATAGAGCATCCACAGAGATTGGGGCATCTGTAACTCCAGAGACAGGCACTGTGGACACTGGCTGAATATGGCAAATAAAAAAATAAAATAAATAAAAAGCTAAAAATAAATAAATAAAATGCTAAATTACTCCAGCATTTCATTGCAACCAAACATGTTCAATATTTTTTGGATGATGTACACTTAGGATGATTTCTAATTGACACATCTGCTCACCTCAACATCTGTTTTGTCATCCAAATCGACAATCTCCAGCAAGTCTTCTTCAGGCGGGAGGCTGGACTCTTTGGGCAGTCCAACAAGCGAAGGCTTTATGACCACAAATACAGGCTGAGAGGGGTTGACGACACATTCTCCATGAGCTAGAGAAATGAGCGAGGTCAGAGAGCTGGGATCGGACAGGTAGATCTGGGGTGGGTCACCCAAATTCTGGCTCTTCTGTGCTTGAGTATTCTGTGGGATGAATTCAAAACAACATTTTTATGCACATAATTCCTAATAATAACAGTAATTAACATGGGTGTCAAATAATTGGATTGCAAGCAGTTTAGCCGATCTTTAAGGTATTTTCCAGGAATTTGGGTGCATAAGCTTTAAATCTGATGAACAATTTCCAGGAGGCTACAATGAGTGCTTCAATGAGCAAGGACTAGTTTGTAACTCATTTTCTTCCATAGTGTTACGCATTTTTAAGTGCAACAATAAAAATGTTGTGCTTTATTTTGTTCATTGGGAAAAGGGCTTGCTTGACTGACGCAATTTCTGACACTGGCGATGTGAATATAACTTGAACGACTGCCATTCAGTGCAATTTCATTAACGAAAAATATGAAGAAAATTATTAATTGACAACCTTTTTTCTTTGCAACATTGTTGACAAAAAAGATGAGACTAAAAACTAGTTTAAAACACACACAAGACCTCAGTGCTGACCGTAATAAATCCAAACATGGATTTCAACTATAATGTTTGTGACTGTGGTTGCTGAATAAATGCACTTTCACCACCTCTGTGCCACTGTTGTTTTAACTGAAAAAACAAATGAATATAATTTGGAAATATTGGAGTTAATATTAAGAATTTCACTGTTTTTGTTTTTGAGAGAAGCTTTTGAGTTTTACCAGTTTTCATTAAAAAAAATGTAAACATGTAAAAAGTGTGATCATTTATATGACAATTTAATAAATCTACATGAAGCCAAATAAACCATGTGTATGAGTTGACATTCTATTTATTTGTACTTATGGGTGAAAGTGCCATAATTCTGATGTACATTCTCAAATGACAACAATCATGATCAGTAATCACAGTAATAATTCTGAGCAAAAAACTGTGATTATCAGTTTAACCATTATGCAGCCTGACTAAAATATGACTTAGTTTTCAATGACTGAAACTAGATAAAAAATTCCAGACTTTTAGTCAACTACAACTTGACTAAACAAAAAACAGGATAGGTTGATTAAATATGCTAAAAACTATAAAGGACATTTGACACAGGAGTCAGGACTAACACTAAACCAAAAAATAGCTAACAAAATGAACACTACTGCCATCAGTGACATCACACTAAGAGATCAAAGACTGACAATTTTGCTTAAAGCAAGAAATCTTACACGATTCCCTAATGTTGTTGACACCATCATCGGTGCTAAAATGGCACAGCTTTAAGCATTTAAAGACTGAGTCTGGATGAGCGTTAAAGAGCAAATCCATACCGTGGTTGCAGTGGCAGATCCAGAGGGCGCCTGTGGGCTGAGGGCGGGTGTAGCACATGGGGAGGGGTGGGTCACTATCACCTGCAAATTGCTGCTCTCCATAGTCGACTGCACCTGAGCAGTTCCCTGCTGTGCTTCTGTCTGACACATTCGCATCTGCAACATATACATAAACATAATCAATGTGAATCAAATACCTTACACACAATGCGTCTCACAAGGTTTTGCAGGTTTTAACCTGTTGATAGCTCATTTAATGACACATGTCGTATAAGAGGATTTATTACAGAATTAAAAACATCAGCTCTAAAACAAAAACATGAAATCCAGAAAGAAGCTGACCTCATGCACTATGTGGTCCAGAGGAGCTGGTTTGGGGCTGTTGTCACTCAGGACATGCTCCATTTTGATGAATTTGGATGCAGTTTTGCAGGGCGTCTGTAGGGACTGGATAGTGAAAGTGGAGTAGAGACCAGACTTCATGTAATCGTTGCGGGAGCTGCGTTGCACTGAGCTAGGGGAGGAGTGCTGAACCTGCAGGCTCTTGGAGAGACATGAGTTGGTGGTGTTAGCACCTGTGTTAGATTTGGTCTGAATGGACAGCTCTAATTTCTCCCCCGTAGTGGCCTTCTGGGAATCCTCAGGTCCTTTCAGCCCATCAGCAGAGTTGGGGTCCGGAAAGGTCACAAACTTATAGACGAACTTCTGGCCGCTAACTTTCTTAATAATATTCTGTGGAAGTATGAAAGCTTGTTGAAAAGTGTCTAAACAATACTATGCACTCGACATTAAATCATGCTCCAAACTTAAAAGTTTTTCTATCCTTTTCATAGTAGTTAGACAGTAAAAATCCCAGAATAATTAATATTTATGGATAAATACTAGTGATGGACCAAAATATTGTCCAGGCTCATTAACTGGTTAACATCAATCGAGTAGTTTTGAGTAAATAATGTTTTATTTCATTTCATTTATTTCATATCACTGAATTGTATTACTGTATATCAATTATATACACTAGTGTTCAAACTTTGGGGTTGGTAAGATTTTTTCATGTTTTTGAAAGATGTCTCATACCCACTAGGGCTGCATATACTTGATTCAAAATATAGTAAAAACAGTAATATTGTGAAATATTGTTACAATTTAAAATAACTTTTTTATTTGAATATATTTTTTTATGTAATTTATTCCTGTGATTCAAAGCTGAATTTTCAGCAGCCATTACTCCAGTCTTCAGTGTCACATGATCCTCATTCTAATATACAGATTTGCTGCTCAGGAAACATTTTGTATTATTTTCAATGTTAAATACAGTTGTGCTGCTAAATACTTTTGTGGAAAATCATGATATATTTATTCAAGATTCTGTGATAAATAGAAAGTTCAAAAGAACAGCATTTATTTGAAATAGAAATATTTTGTAACATTACAAATGTCTTTACTGTCACTTTTGAACACTGTATTGCATCTGTGAAGAATAAAAGTAATAACTTATAAAAAAAAAAAAAACATCTTACAGGCCCCAACATTTTAAACAGTAATGTATATATAAAATAAACCGATTAAGTCTGTGATTCACATAATTCATAGTTACTCCTGCACATACTTTGTCATAGTAATAACGAAGTGCCCTGCTCAGTTTATCATAGTTCATGTTGGTTTTGTTCTTGCGCAGCCCCCAGAGTCTGGCTACCTCCTCGGCATCCAGCAGTTTGAACTCCCCATCCCCAGATGTCCAGGAGATCAAGTGCTTCTGACTCTGATCATCCAGCAGGTGTAGCAGGAACTGCCACAATGTAATGGACGGATCCATTGCTACAGGGCATAAAAAACAGACTATGATAAATGTGTCTGTAACCTACTGGTGCTTAGTATCATGTTAACAATGTGTAAGATTTGAAAAACCTCAAGTTAGTACTAAATAAACATAAAACAACCTGCGATTACTAACGTTTTCACTGAAATACACAACGATATACAGTATCTATCAGTTGTGATAAGGCCTGCTTGTAAAATATATAACCCCATAAAGCCATAAGTGCTGTGAAAACATGAGATATTGGTTTTACTAGCTATGTTTCTAAAAATACTGCATCAAATATACCTAGAACTCATTGTCATGAGAAGTATGTTCTGGAACTGAAGCCATGATAGAAAAAACAGCCTTTGTGGGATTTAACAGAATCCTACATCCACTGAAATCAAATTCACATCCTCAGTATAGTAAATGAAATCCTCTTTCTTTATGGTTGGACTGAGTAGATGAGCATAAATGGAGAGTGAACATTATATCTGCAGTGAAATCAAGGAAAAACAGGCAAGAATTAATGCTGCTACCGTCAGCAGAGGACGTGTATCACAAGTTCAGGAAGAACATGTTGAGAATGCAAATTAACCCTATTACCATCCCCATCCCCCCCCCCTATTTACGTAACTCATAAGCAACACCTTAGAAACGATCACCATGGTAAAAGCATTTAAGCAACCGTTTCTAAGGAAGAAAAAAAGACCCCGCCACCCTTTAAGCACACTGAACCAAATTAATCGCAGTGAAGTGCTGATGACAATGAAGGGAACCCGTTTCCATTTTAACCTAGCACATAAAATCTCATTAATTAATACCGTCATTAAATCGAGCTGTAAGTGATTGAGTGAGTGCATTCATTAGCAGTAAAATATATTTAATAAATGGTATCATTCTAGGACTGAAACACCAGAAGAATATCCTGTGGACAGCTTGTACAGCTACACACACACTAAGGCAAACAGGGGGTTTTACAAAACTGTAGTTCAGGATTTAAATGTCATACTTTTATCCACACTTACTCATCAAATCAACAACTCACTGCGAGACCCTCAGACTGCTGAAATTACTCATTTCCATACAGGTTGACCCCCCAAAAAAAGAAGTTCTGAAGACATCTCTGTAACACTTTCCATTACCCTTCCTACTAGATATACATACAGTAATTATGCATTGAGAACGTGTAGACTATTAGCAATTGACATTTTCTACAACTAATGTAAAATCACGGATTGAAAATCTTTTGACCAATAACAGCGAACGGAGAATAACTCTCAATGTTATTCATAAACAACATATTACATTTGAGATATGCCTGAATATACACATATTTTTAAGAAATCAATTAAAATCGATTGATTAAAAATGGATAAAATATGCCTAGTAATATACATATAATGAAATAACAATTAAAAGTGCTTGTGAAGTAAAGTGCACAGTACAATGAACACAAAAATGTGAGAAAAAATGTAATTTTCTATAGATGAACGATAATATCAGGACCATACCAGTTATCTGTCATCATTAATGACTGTTTTCCTGAATTGTATCTATCAATATTGGATATTTTAGATATCAGATTTCTTTAGTCAGCTAATTCTAACTATTTAAGAGACTTTAAATGTACTTTCTTATACATGTCTTACCTCTATTATAGCAACCTATCTGAATAGTTTATCAACTATTCAGTTCAAAATTAATCTTGTACATTATAATATTGCGATGTCTAAATTCCCTTAATCAATCAATTAGTTTTAAGTACAGACAGAGTTATACAAAAATAGTACAAATAGTGGATTAGAAAATACTATAGATTTTTCCACATCAGCTTGAATTTTATTATAGGTGTATCCCTAAATAAACTGCCATTGAAAAAATAAAGCCAGTTGTGTGAAAGAATGAGTAGCACCCCCTTTATAATGTAGCTGTATAATAAATTGTGTTTTTTTTTTAAATGAACGGAACTGTTTAGGCCAGTAAAACAAACAGCTTGATTTTCCCAATAGCACAATAACACATCAAAGCTTTTATGAATAACATATACTTCAATGGTGATTAATCATAAAAAAAAATCTGGCATCAGAATATACTGGTAAAAATAACCAAAGGGTCACCGTATTAAGATAAAAATGTCATAGTGAAGCCAAAAACAAAGAATCAGACGCACATTTGTCTTATTTACATGTTGATTATTCCCTAATTTTCCTTGCAGTGTTACATTCTAGCTGAAGAGCTCCAGTATGACTAATCAAGGGACTAACACTGCACAGCTTGCCTTGGTCTAATGCCTCATAAATCAGCCTGTGCATCTGAGAAAAGCAAACAAAGACCAGCACTGAACAACACAGATCTGTTTTTCCCCATCAGACCTTATTGCCTTAAGACTGTTCAGGGACCTCAATGCTCAATAATCAATTAACTTGAGTTCTCAGACTGCATGATGACTTATAGCCAATGAATGAATTGGAATCCCAAAGGAGGAGAGAGCCAGACAGGACTGTGATGTGAACAGAATGAATCCAGAGCTAAATTACCAAACAAATCCCTAAAAGACACTTGTATTAAGTGGGGCTCACGACAGTTCCTGGTGGGTCATCAAGGTGTCCACACGGTCTCTTTGGGTTTACATGAGGTCTGCTGGTTAACATCAGATGACACTGGTTTCATTTACACAAACACAGTAAAGAAATGCTGACATATGCATTGCACAATCATGTCAAATCAAACAAGTTCTTATGCATTTGATTTAAAGTTTTCATTGCAATTATAAAGGGATTGTTGTACATTATACAAAAGGGAGCGAATGATAATAATAATTAAATCACTTGTTTAATTTATAAACCACCTTTCCAAATACAAGAACAAACATCCACCCTTGCAAACTAGCTTGTTTGACAGCTCAAAATCTAAATATTTAATGCACAATAAAACAATCAAATGCAATTCTGTTAAAATTACACTCGCTGATGGTTGATTAGTTCAGAAATAACCAGGAGGCAAACAAGTCTGCCAAACACTGTATTTGATTCAGAAACAGCAGCATGTGGACACACTGCCAGACATTTGGCTTGCAAAACATTTACTCAAACACAGATGAAGTGCATCAGGCTTCCTACAGGTATGTTAACCCACCCTGACCAAAATAAGGTGTCAATCCCACTCATTTATACGGTTCCTTAATACTTTTTGGACAATCACATTGATTTGAACACCACGTTCTGACTCACACCAGGATTAGGCAGCGTGTACGAATAAATTGTGAATAAAACAGAGCGAGATGTGAATGTATTTGGCATTATTTGACTAACGAGCACTTTATTAAACTCTAATGCAATCACTCCTCCATGTCCAACCTCCTTGAAGTGGAATAAAACTTACCGCAGATCAGCGGGTTCGACTCCATCTCTCCCAAATAAATGTGTTTATGGGCAGTTTTATTCTTTGGAGATTAATTCACGTCCATAACTGTGCTTGCTGGGTGTCAAAAGTCGGTGGTTTAATTGCGTTTGGTTGTTATGTAACACATGCACCTCTCCCTCCATGTTAGTTGACATTAGCAGCAAAGTCGCTAGCTCGCGTTAGCTCAGGCTGCCTGCGCGTAACGTTACACTGTTCCTGTCAGACGGACTGAAGACTTCTTCAAACGTCAAAATACTCCAGTAAAATTGACCAGGGCCGCGTTTAAACGGTGGAATGTCACGCCCTGCCTTTAAAACAATACGGTAACAGTAAGGAGGGGTTAATTCCAGCGTGGTGGACGGTGAGGGAGGGCAAATAAACCGAGACCCCGATCAGGTCCATCCACTTCGGCGCGAAGCGCGCGAGCTTCCCTCCTTCAGCGCGCGGTGTCCAAGCAACGGACTGGCTGCACTGTCAGTTTAAAGAGCTCAAAATAACGCGGAGGTAAAAGACAGAGCGCTCCCTTCGGAAGTTTTTTTTAACAACAACAACCTCTGCCTGGCTTTCCCCCGTTTGCTTCCTGTTTCCACGAGCGCCTCGACTACTTGTTTCTTTCTTTTTTTTTTTTTCCACCTCTCTTTGGTCCGCGAGTCCCCGTGCGGCCGTGACGTCACCGCACAGGCATGACGCGAGTCGTCTGTAGAGCAAAATGAATGAAAGAGAGCAAACTTTTGTGTGTTGCCGTCTTCTAGTGGAGAGACCTTGGTGCTATTTTATTCAGCACCAAGGTCGAGTGAAAATCTTTACGCAGAAAAAAAATACATATGAGCTCAAATCATTTTGCGTAAATTCTCTCACACACAATAACAAGCGCGATCCACAGGTTGTTGCTGCAGGACTGCGCTGAAATGTTGCTTGCACTCATATAACACAATGCAGGGGTTTTCCAGGGGGCCACAAGAGTGCAAATATAAAATTGTATTTACATTTAATAAAAAAAAACAAAAAAACATTCAAATAAAAATATTAGTTTGATTTGAGTGAGTGAATGAATGATTAAATAGAAAACTAATAGGCTACATCTAACTGTAAGCATGAAATATTTAATGCAACATAAAAGTATTTTACAGATATGTATGATATAATTTTTTCCACAGTATAAATTGGGACTTTACACAGGAAAACATATAGCTACGTTTACATTTTAAGATGGGGGTCTGTCGCACAAGGATGATATTTGGGGGTTCGTGGCATCTAAAAGATTGAAAACCTCTGACACAGTGTATAATCAAAATAATGTCAAGCATACATACTGCATATGTAATACAATAATACAGGAAGCATAAATCATCTTTTATTTGATGCGCTGGAAATCATATGTACAAAAAAGTTCCATCTAACTCCTGAATTATATATCATTTTAAAAACGTAAAATCTGCAATTCCACAGCCAGTGCTGACAATGTCACATTATAATAATTGTATAGTGTGTCATTGTGCCCAAATGCGGCAGTGAGTCTTTGTACAAAGAAAAATAATCTATTTCAGGAAGCAAGTCTTAGTGCTGCCACAATTCAACATCCAGTTTCCATGGCAACTGTTACTAGTGTGACAGGGTAGCCATCACACGGATGCTGCAGAACCTTAAAATTAACCACTGTCTTCATCAATCAGAACAGCTAAAATAGAAGTTCAATTAATGATCGATCAATTGCCACGTAATTCATTGAAGGTGCAATCTTGAATCCCAAAAGTAGCACGCACGCCGTTTGAAAGCATTTTATCGAACGCCATACTCAAAGACAGGATGAAGAACTGATTATGTGGACAGGGTAATCTATACATAGTTTGTGTTCTTATTATTTGTAGATTCAACAAGATACAAACAAGCTTCTAAGCTAAAGTTTTTATTCCAGAATCAATCTGTACTCACATTTTAGATATACATAAGGATTGGCTTCATAGTATAATTTTGTGGCTTGTTGGAAATTAATGGTAGAATTCTTATTTCAGTTAAAAAGTCCTGTGTTTTATAAAAATGAACATTTATGAACAAGATAACACCAATGATGTCAACAGATTACATGACTTTCTTCATTTACAATAATACAATCTCAATACAATTAATAATTTGCTTGGCATATCTAAAAAAGAGAAGCCTCTTACATATTTATTTTTCATATAGACTGTCTAATCTTATATGAAGAAGTTTATAAAGGTCATTGGTTAATGTATTGTGTGTACAGTGATATAATTATTTAAAATGATTACAATGACACTGACAGTTGTACCGAAAATGTATTTATTCAGCAAACTTTTCAAAACAACAGTATAACCTGTTAAAAGGCAATGTTCCTCTGAACCTGGCTGCCATAAAGTTCACACTGTTTAAAACAAACATTACAGTCATATGTGCAAATTTAATACACTGTGCTGTGATTGGTGTACTGTACTAAAACACCTCTCTCCTTCTGTCCTCTGGAAGATCTTTCAGACCTTGCAATTCCCTCAAACCCTATGAAAACAGATTTTTTTTAAGCATCACAATGAACTAAAAAAAGTACAAGCAAGTAAACTGTAATGATTTGTACCTCCAAAACCATGCGGATGTTGGCCTTTATCTTTGCTGCATCTTTGGTAAGGACCTCAGTATACCTGAAATTTTCAAATAATGATGAACGTCTGAACATCTCACGGTAAAATATATATATAAAAAAAGGCAAACATGCATATTACAAAGCAATCAAAAACCAAAAGATAAAACCAAATGCTCTCTTACTCCGTTAGCTGATTAGTCTTCTTTTCTATGAACTTCAAAGCCTCTGCATGTGTGAATTCGACAAAGAATCCATATCCAACTGCCACATATATTTTTGATGCATCAGGTCTAAAAAGGAAGGAATCCTTTAGGAGTTTGCCCTTTTTAAATGTTAAGACAAAGGCATTGACGCACAGTACACAGACATCAGACTTACAATACTTACACATGAGCCTGCACATAGAAATTGCAGCCAAGGTCAACATCCGTTTCGAGTTCCTTGCTGTCCGTTTCCTAAAGATGAATAAAATACGGCAAAAGCAACATATTATAATACACATCACTCAATACAGAATGAGAGCAAGAAAACGACAGAGACAGGAAATAACAAATGCAAATAGAGATAGGCAAGGTTACATAGCAAAAAAAAAAAAGAATGAATAAAAAAGGACAGAGATAAAATACCTGAATGCTTTTAATAGTGTTCTTCAGCTGAAGGTATTGTGCCATTTTCTCATACACAGCATCTCTTTGCTCCAATACTTTCCTGTCAGAGTACAGAGTTAAAATAATAAAAGATCATTTTTATCCAAATATTTTTTATCTTTATATATATATATATATACATAGAGAGAGAGAGATTTACATATACATATAACATACACATTATCATGTAAAATGGGTATTTATATGGAACCCAATGGCACTTCAAATAATACCATGGTATTTCGATAGAACATATTTAAAGAAATCATGGGATTACTATGGTGTAAACATGCTAAATAGCATTGCTATTGCAGGTTTTACACCAAAGCTTAATCTCAAGCGTTGATACTTACTGTAAGTCTCGTTTCAATACTTCGTTGATAAACGTCTCATACTGCAAGACTTTCGCCCCAGGAGTCATGATATGAGAAAAAAGATGGTTGCAGATCGACTAATATAGCGATATTTATTTTAATCGCAGTCTGTTTCTAATATTAACGTGAATCAGAAATCGACAGCCCGTCGCTGGGATGATGCAGGGATAAAAAGCTTACAGTTGACAAATGAATTTGTTTTAATAGAAAATGCTCGACTGTGTCAAGCTAACCTTCTTTCAGCCTGTCACGTGGCTCTCCACTTGTTTACAAGATACACGGAAACGTCTTCGAAACCGGAAATTGCGTTAAGAAAATATATATACATTTTATATATACATTTTATATATAAATAAGACAAGTCTATCCGTTTAGTTAAAATAAAATAACAACATAAATGCATCTCACAGTTCAAAGTAGTGATGGGACTACACGAGCGACTCATTCCTGCGAATCGGTTCTTTTAAACAATTCGTCTCAAAGAACGAGTTAAAAACGTTTCTTTTACGATATGACGTTATCCCCGACATCCTCGCGTGGTTTATTACATGCTCCAAACGTGTAATAAAACTGTTTATATGCACACATTACTGCTTACTTTTAAAACGATATCTATTTCGTTTACACGTGTTAAAACTGTCACGTTCAATAGAGACTCGGTTCAGTGAGGACTCGATAAGCGCACAGACCGATACAGTCCAGTTCGTGCATGAATCGATTCTATAGTTTCATTTAATAGATTCGACTCAATAGAAGGATTCGCTCACGATCGAACTTCGCTACTAGTTCAAAGGTCAAAAAGCAGCTGTGCATATGGCGCATGTTCATGCAGCAATGTGTCGCTACTGTCGTATAAAAGCGCAGTAGTTTTACCATAGTTTGACTTTTCATCGTGTTGGAATTTGAGTATTAAAATAAACTTTAAAAGTGTCAGATAGTTGTCGCGGATAGTTTTGGTGTAGGAAATTAAATGGCAGGTCCAGAGCTGCTGCTAGATTCCAGTATTCGCCTGTGGGTCGTTTTGCCCATAGTCTTCATCACATTCTTCGTCGGAGTTTTGCGGCATTATGTCACTCAACTGATTCATAACGAGAAGAAAGTGGATCTGCAGCAGGTGTCTGACAGGTGAGATGACTGATTCATACAGGTGTTTAACCATAAACATCTTATCAAACTCACAACATATAGACTACTGTAATTCTATATTAAAAAAAAGTAGTAAAAACATGAATGTTTAAAATGCCATCTATACAAATTCTAATTATATTCAATACTTCATTTTAATAAAAATAATAATTAACCTAAAAATGCTACCTGTATTTATCTTTATAAAGTTGTCTTGGAAGAACGTTGATGAATGAAATTTCGTCTATAAAATTTTGTTCAATTATATTAATACTATATTTTGCTAAAAATTTATTATTGACTTAAATGTAAAAATGCTGTCAGTCTTTATAAAGTTATTTTGGCAAAATTAAAAGTTTTGATTGCTGAGTAAATTATATTGTCAGTGAAATTGGTTAAAAATACTGTATGCAAATATGTATTCTGGATATCAGGGAATAAACAGGTATAATTAATGATGCAAAATCCATCGGAATTAAAAAGGAGACATATCCTAAATTCTCAAATTTTGCCCAAATATGATCATTAGATCTTTTTTAATTTGTCCCAATTACAAAATATGGAAATACAATGAATGTGTTTTATTTCTTGCAAATATATTAAACCCTAGGCAAGTTCTTCTTAAGAGTTTAATTATTTAGAGCTTCAGGAAACATTTTGAGGAAAGAATGCTTTATAATCTACATTGGAACTGTTGCAGTTTATACATAATCATTGCAAATTATTTTGTGAACGCATATACATTTATCCATTTTAATTCATTTTAAATCACAGCCAGGTGTTGCTGCGCAGCCGCATCCTGAGAGAAAATGGAAAATGTCTTCCCAAACAGGTACTGATTACTTTATGAATAACAGTTCCCAGCATATTTTAATGGAATACATTTATAAAACTCCATTTACTTGTTTGGGTCAATGATCAATAATGCTGTCCCATTTCAGTCAT